CTACAGCTTTCATGGCATCCAGGAGATTTTGCTAAGATGTTTCTTCATTTTCATTTGTTTCTTTTAATCTCTTTTAATCTCTGTTTTGATTTCATCATTGACCCAGGAGTTGTTTAAGCATCATACTATTTAGTGTCCATGTCTTTGTGGGTTTGGGGCGAACCTTGTTGGTGCTGATGTTTATTTTTATTCCACTGTGGTCTGAGACAGTGCATGACAAAATTTCAATCTTTTGAAATTTGTTTATGCTTGATTTATGGCCAGGTATGTGGTCATTCTTACAGTCTGTTCCAGGTGGTTATGAGTAGAATGTATATTCTGTGGTCATTGGGTGGAGTGTTCTGTAGGTATCAATTAAGTCCATTTGGTTAAGAGTCACTTTGAGGTTCCAGATCTCGTTGCTGACTTTTTGTCCTGATGATCTCTCTAGGTTGTGAGTGGGGTGTTAAAGTTCCCAGCTATGATAGTAGTAGAGTCAATATCTTTTTTTTAGTTTTCCTAGAAGCTGCTTTATGAAAGTCAGTACTCCTATGTTGGGTGCATATATGTTTAGGATAGATATTTCTTGTTGATGGAGTGAACCTTTTGTCATTACGTAGTGGCCTTCTGTATCTTTTTTAATTTTTGATAGCTTAAATGGTATTTTGTCTGAAATTAGGATAGCAACTCCTCCTTTCTTTTGTGTTCCATTCGCCTGAAAATTTGTTTCCCATCCTCTTACTTTGAGTCTGTGAGTGTCCTTTCTGGTGAGATGGGCCTCTTGAAGGCAATATATTGTTGCCTGGTGCTATTTTATCCATGTTGTCATTCTATGTCTTTTCAGTGGTGCATTTAGTCCATTCACATTCAGGCTTATTATTGAAATGTGAGAGTTGATCCCTATCATAAGGTTCTTACAGAGTTGTTGTTGTTGTTCCTCTTTGTTGTCTTTCTTTTGGTTTTGGAGTTGGTCCATGTGTGTTTTAATCTTTTTCCTCTACTCTTGTGAAGAACGTTGATGTTCTTTTTTCCTTTTCTTCTGTGTTCACTACTCTCTTAAGTGTTTCTTGTAGAGGTGGTCTGGTGGCAGTGCAAGTTCTTAGAGATTGAATATCTGGACAAGATTTTAATTTTCCCTCACTGATGAAGTTTAGCTTGACTGAGTAGGTTATTCTTGGTTGAAATTGTTTATCTTTTAGAACTTTGAAGATAGAGCTCCAAACTCTCCTAGCCTGCAGGGTTTCTGTAGATAAATCTGCTGCTATTCTTATTGGTCTTCCATGGTAGGTGACCTGGCCTTTTTCTCTTGCTGCCTTTAGGACTTTTTCTTTTATACCTACTTTGTTTAGGCGAATTATTATGTGTCTAGGAGTTGGTCTTCTCATTTGTTGTCTTGCAAGGGTTCTTTGAATCTCTTGTGTTTGAATCTTCACATCACTGATGAGATGAGAGAAGTTTTCTTCAATAATCTCATGGAATGTTTGTTCCAAGGTGGCTTCTGTCTGTCTTTCTGTTTCAGGAAGTCCAATTACTCTTAGGTTTGGACTCTTGAAGTAATCACTCATCTCTTGAAGGTTTTGTTCTGTCTTTTTAAGCTTCTTTTCTATGTTTTTGACAGTTTGGGTTAGTTCTATATTTTGGTCCTCAAGCTCTGTGATGCTTTCTTCTGCTTGGCTAATTCTGCTTTCCATGCTTATCAGTTTGTTATTTATTTCATTCACAGTATTCTTTATTATTGTTTTCTCACATATCAGCTCCTTCCTAGTTTCTTCTTGTCTCTCCTCAATTCTTTTTAATCTCTCCATTAATGTCTTGATATCTAGGTTTGTAGTTTGAGACCAGTCATTGTGGGGGCTCTTCATTGTTTGCATTCCAAAGTCAGTTTTCTCAGTGTCTGCCCTCCTAGGGGTCTGGGAGATACCCATTTTCTTCTTTTGGTTTTTCTTCATTTGTGCAGATTTTTCTCTCTCCGCCGTTCCCTCCCCTTCTTTAATTCTGTTTTTCAGGGAAGGTGGGGTTGCTTTTGCTTCGCTTGTGCAATCTCCTGTTCTTCCTTATGAGGGTCCTCGGCTTTGTTCACTTTTGAGGCTGGACTGTGGGTTGGGGGCTGTACTTTTTGCAGTTTTGAGGTTTTATTAAGGGGGAAGTTGTGATTCAGAATCTATCTGCAGATCCCAGTATCCACCAACAGGTGTATGGGCTCACTGGAACCCATTTCCCACTGCCTTACAATCTGTCTGTGCAGCAGGGTTTAAGTTTGCTCCCTGGAACCAAAGGAGGCACGAAAAAGGAAAATAATGGAAGAAGTGGGGGTCAAGAGGAAGTTAGAAAGAGAGAAGAGTGAGAGGGAAAACAGGCATCCATACCAACTAATGAATGAAAAAGAGACACAAGGCCAGAAAAGAGTGAAAAACAGACACACAAACAAAATTCTCTGAAGCATACTGGTAATCACACAATGACAGTCCAATAAAATCATGCCTTTTGATGCATTTTTCCCCAATACAAACAGGTAGTCTAAATCAAAAAGCAAACAAAAGTGAGCAAAACAGTCAAAACAATAAAATCAAAAGTTAAATTAAGAAACCAGACTAGCTCTGGAATGTTTCCTGAGTGTCTAAAGTCTCTTCAGTTCTAATCTCTAGCCTCTCCCCTTTGCTTTCATTGCAGGCTTGTTACCTGAGAGTTCTGTGATGACTGAGTTGCCTGTATTTGATTCAGCATAGGGGAGGGGCTTTCATCTCCTGTTTAGTGATGTTACCTTAGAAACCAAGGTGCAGGCTGCTCACAGATGGGTGGGGCAATGCAAATCTCTGCCTGGAAAATGGCCAAGGTGGGCATCTCCTCTTTCGCCAATCCTTTCTCTCCACCCGTCCTTTCTCCCCACTCGTCCGGGTCCGTGGGCGATCCACTACGATGGGTTGTGGTGGCATGTGAGGCACCGGGGATCAGCTGCACAGCTGGGTGCTGGATCTGGTGTGCCACCAGCAGCCTGGGGTGGAGGAGAGAGCTGGAAATTCCCTCTTCTGCAGCTGAGAGTGGAGAGTGGCTGATCAGCACCTCCTTAAGATCTACTGTTCCCTTACACAACCACGGGATCACATGCTGGGTGCCTCAGCCAGAGCGGGGACCGGAACTCCGAAAGGTAGGTGGTGAGTGGGGACAGTGGCTTTGGATCCTGCACAGGGCACTTCAGCCAGGAGTGGAGCTGGCATCTCTGAGGGGCGGGCACCTGGAGCCTCCCTGGGTGACAGAGGCTTGACATAGGGCTGGGCGGGGACCCAGAACCCAGGGTGGGGAGCTGGACCTCTGAGGAGCGAGCACCAGGCCGCTGGGCCGGGTGCCCAGTCAGGGAGAGACCTGGCAGTGGCTGAGTGCAGGGCAGATCAGCATAGCCAGAGAGGGAACCCAGATCTCCACAAGGTGATATCCAAGGGCCTCCACAGGCAGCAGCCGGCAGCTTGGGGCCAAGCGAGACGTAGCAGTGGGCAGGGGGGTGGGGGAAGGAAAGTAAGAGTCTTTGGGGGAACTCACCTTCAGAGACTCTCACTGTCCCACCTATGCCGTCGCCATCTTTCAATGGGTTGCTTTTCATCCTTTTTGCCCCACCAAGGTGCTTGAACTTCCAGTGTTGTCCCTCCCTCTCTGTGGATTCTATATCCGTGGATCCAACCCATACACGTGCATGTTACCATATGAAGGGGGGACCAAAAAAACCAAATTGCTTTTTAGAGGGTAGGCCCCTTGTAGTACAGGTTTCCCCTGCTGGCTTAGTGTTTTAGGAACTCACTGGCATTAGAGGACCAGAGAGTGCTGTGGTGAGAGGCTACATTCGGCTTCAGTGAATTTTTTGTGTGTGGAAATTCTTTCAGTGTCGTTGTCCGTTGCATGATGGGGGTGTTACAAGGGCACCTGCTCACACCACTCTGCGCGTTCAGCAGTTTTTGACCAGAAAGGCACAATCCCATCTCCTACCCTCCCTATTCACCCGATCTTACCCAAAGTGACATTTTTTGGTTCCCTGAAAAAAAGTCCCCAGAGGCAAAAGTTTTGCCAGTGTGGAAGAGGTGAAACAAAAAATAGCAGAAGCACTAAAAGGCATCAAAACTGATGAGTTCAAACACTGTTCTGAGCAGCAGAAATGGCATCTTGATAAACATACTGCATAAATTGGAGAGTATTTTGAAGGTGACTGAAATTTAAGCATGCAAGAATAAACACAATTTTTATAAATTAATTCTGGGTTTCTGGCTCCCCCTCATATGTTATGTATATTTTGTATATTTTTATATATTATACATACTACATATGTATAATATACAGTGGCAGTGGTCAATTTTGCTACACAATGTAAAGAAATAAGGATAGTCTGAGAATTTGAGTTAAATTAACAGAGTACTTTAATAAAACAACAAGCTCATAATCTACTATTGGTCACATTTGCTTTCACCTTTACAAGCTTTGCTGTTCATTGGTGTCCTTCAAAATACTAGGGCAATTCAATTAAGATGAGTGTAATTCAAATCAGATGAATATTTAGAAGTTATATTGCAAGAAGTTGGAGTTACACATTTGTTTAAAGGAAGAAAATCACAATATTGAAGTGGAAGTAAGATGATGATGATGATATGTTATTGCCACTATTTAAACACAGGATCCAATATGTGTTCTGATTAGGCTCACAGTCAGCAAAAGCTCGTGTTTCCACAACAAATTTACATGCTTTTCTAACCACTAATTTATCTACTTTTAATCCACAATTAGAAGAGGTGTTCCTAGTCACTATCATGCTGAATTCACCAAGTGACAGAGATTCTGGTGGGTTGTCAACATCACACCATGATCCTTTCCTAGAAAAGGATTCTACTACACTAAACTTGTACTTGTGCAAGAGTTTTTAAAAGCGAGAATTAGACAGCCATCTAATCTCCTTCTGTTGTATATTTGTGTCTGGGGGGCAAGGTGTGGAGTCTGAAGCTTTTGATAGCAATTTCACCTTTCTGTTGATGTCTCTGTTTCAGATAGTGCCGATCTAGAACTAAGGCTCGTGGGTGGACACAACCGCTGTGTGGGAAGAGTAGAGCTGAGGGTCCAAGGAAGGTGGGGGACCATATGTCACCGGAACTGGAACAATGCTGCCGCTGATGTTGTGTGCAAACAGCTGGGGTGTGGACCCGCACTTCATTTTGCTGGCTTACCTCACATGGAACCAGGGTCTGGGACCATATGGCTGGATGATGTCTCCTGCTCTGGTAATGAATCTTTTCTTTGGGACTGCAGACATTCTGGATGGATCAATCCTTTCTGTGTTCATGAGAAGGATGTGTCTGTGATATGCTCAGGTAAGACTGATATCCACATGATCACATCAGAAAAAGTGCCCCTTTTCTGAAGAAGACTCAACCCTGAAGCAGATAAAACCAATTGTGATGTGTGAGAATTGACGCTTTTAATTTTCCCCTAGGCAGTATGCTTGCATGTCTTTCAGCATGTTAGACTGTATCAAAATTGCTGGCTGGGCTCGCTGGCTCAGCCTGTCATTCCAGTACTTTGGGCGGCTGAGACGAGTGGATTCCCTGAGCCCGCGGGTTCGAGACCTGCCTGGGCAACTTGGTGAGACCCCATCTCTACAACAAATCAAAAAATTATCCGGGTGTGGTAGCACGCGCCTGTAGTTCCAGCTACTTGGAATGCTGAGACAGATGGATCACCAGAGCCCAGCAGGTTGAGGCTGCAGTGGCCGGGAGAGGCCACTGCACTCCAGTCTGGGTAACAGAGTGAGACTCTAACTCAAAAAAAAAAAAAAATTCCTATGAAAGAAAATTCTAGGTGTAGATCCAACTATTTTCCTCTGAAAGTCTTGGTCGAAGAGACTTTTTTTAGTAAGTGAGCACTGGACCTACGGCCTTACAGCTTTATCTCATTTCCTAGGGCATTTGATATTCGGTTATAGCTGTTAAGGTGAGTTTTAGTTAAACCTAGATTAAGCAACAGGGAAATGTGCACATAGGAAAACACATGTAGGCAGTGAAGTTTACATGCTTTATCTAGTAGATAATTATCTGACCCCATATAAGTCAGTCTCTAAGGTGCAGATTCTCCTACTATGGATAGGATAACAGCATTAGGTAAAATAGTGGGAGAAAGATCCTAAAAAGTGCCAGGCAATCAGGAAGTTCTCAATAAATATAGGTACCATATAACATTACCATTATGACTGATATCTCATTTACAGAAAAATAAACTTCTAAATCTCCCAAGATTAATGTATTCAATGTGAATCAAATATTCACTAGGTAGCAAAATATATTTTTGTCACAATATATCAAAAGCAGGAAAAAATGGGAGGAGACAAAACATATAAATTTTTATCTTCTTTCTCAATTATTTCAAAAAGAATATCCACATTTTACTTCTTTGGGCTTAGTCTATTTGCTTGCATGTTGAAATAGCAGTCACAGAAGCACAAAGAATTAACACGATATATATGTTGATAGTGTAAAAAGACACAGTTCGTTCACAATTTGGCAGTGAACATATTTCATTACCTACAACAGACATGTTTTGTAAACAAAGGCTTGCTTCTCCATAGAAAGCATAGTATGAATAAGAACATGTTTCTGCTTAAATCCAAGAGAGACTTTTTTCCTAGCTGCGTTGTTTTGGTCATTTTTCTTCTGAAGTTACTAAAATACAAGAATTTCCCAATGCCTTCTTTCTTTTACTTTACTGAGTTACTAGTATTTTGGAAGTTAATGTAATATGTGAGATATAGGGTTCTAAGACTTTTCATTGTGACATAAATCTTAGCCAAGGTTAAAACAAGGTTCTTAGGCTTATAATTTTAATCTTCATATTAAAGAAAAGTTTTTTCCACAAAAACTGAGAAGCACTCTAATATTCAAGTCTTCTTGCTGAGATTCCAGAACAAAATGCATTTTTATTCTTGACTTTTCCCAGTATATGACGGATACATCTAATCTTCATGTGGGTGATTGGTGGAGAGGGAAGCTGATGGCATTGTCCCAAATCCAACCCAGATGGTCTCATTTCTCTGTGACTTCATTCTAGATGGAGCAGATTTGGACCTGCGACTGGCAGATGGAAGCAGCAATTGTTCTGGAAGAGTAGAGGTGAGAATCCATGAACAGTGGTGGACCGTATGTGACCATGACTGGAATAATAAAGAAGTCACCGTGGTTTGTAAACAGCTAGGATGTCCATTTAATGCCTCTAGCCGCCTCTATGTTGAACCTAGTGAGGAATTTAAAGCCATCTGGATAAACAGAATATCTTGCACTGGAAATGAGTCAGCTCTCTGGGACTGCAGATATGATGAAAATGCACGCCTACCATGTCTCCAAAGATCAGATGCTGGAGTGAGGTGTTCTGGTAAGGTTCAAAGACCACAAGAGTGTACAAATAAGAGTCTTTTCCAGCCAGGCTCGGTGACTCAGCCTGTAATCCTGCGCCTTTGGGAGGCTGAGATGAGTGAATTGCCTGAGCCCGTGGGTTCAAGACCCGCCTGGGCAGCGAGACCTCATCTCTACAATAAATCAAAAAATCAGCCGGGCGTGGTAGCGCATGCCTGTAATTCCAGCTACTCGAAAGGCTGAGGCGGAAGGATCGCCGGAGCCTAGCGGGTCGAGGCTGCGGCGGCCGGGAGCGGCCGCTGCACTCCAGTCTGGGCGACCGAGTGAGACTCCAACTCAAAAAAAAGAGTCTTTTCCTGTTACTATCTTCCCACTATCCCAACAACACTGAACATTTTCACATTTTTAAATCAATTAGCTTTATTTTTTAAGTATAATAGTATTGACTGACATTTATTGAATATTTACTATGTACTGGACAGTGTTCTATTTGCCTTACTTACATGACTTCAAGGAATCCTCATGGGATACCAGGAGGTAGGTTACTATTCTTATCTTAATTTTACAGGGAGGAAACAGGGGTACAGAGAGAAAGTAATTCACCCAAAGTCACTCAGCTATAAGAGCAGTAGTGAAGCAGGAATTCAAATATAGACAGTTACGCTCTAGAGTCAATGCTCAAAAATCTCACTTCTTTGATAATAAGTAAGAATTTCCCCCCAACCTTTTATTAGCAGCTTATTTGTATTTATTTATGGGTTATTGTTTATTGTTCTTTGGTCATTTTTATATTGTGGGATATATCTTTGTCTTTACAGAGTGTAAGAGCGCTATGTATTTTATAAATCTCCTTCGCAAAATACATAAATTCCCTCTTCTATTTCTAGAACTACTGTATTCTAATTATTATAGTTTCTATAGGCTAATATATACTGAGGCATATATCCCTTGACCGTTTATGTTTTTCATAAAATTCATTGCTACTGTTTTCATTTTTATTCTTCCAATTATGGATTAAAATTAGAATTGTTTTTAAGGTAATATTAAGCATAAAAATTGGTCAGGCACTATGACAGGTCAGGCACTATGACACATGTCTATAATCCTGACTTCTTAGGAGACTGAGGCAGGAGGACCACTTGAGCCCAGGAGGTCGAGAGTGTAGAGTGCTATGACTGCACTGTGAATAGGCGTGTTATGAGTGCACCCATGATTTGCACTCCAGGCTGGGTGACATAGTAAAACCCACTCTCTTAATAACTGATTACATTTGGGGAGAGATTATATCAGTACAATATCTAGTTATTCTATACTAAAAAGGATACACTGATTCTGTTTATGTAGTTACTTGCCTCGGGAACTTGAATTTATCTTTGCCTTGTTTCTATGAATTGTTATTACGTATATATGGAGGTCATATATATTATAGGCACCTACATATACACATGTATTCATGCACATATGCCCACTTTTAACCTGCACTAAGTACATTGGTTTCCATCAAATTTTTCTCGGAAGTAATTGGAGGCCATCCTCAAAACTTTATGTGCAAGGAAGCATAATTTATGAAAATGAAAAACTATCAACAACTTAAATAATCAAGAATTGTGTCTTGAGGAAATAACTTACAGAATCTTCATATGATGGTATACTCTGGAACCATAGTCTTACTGGGTATCCAGTGAAGGAGTTGGAAAGACTTTAGAATTTTTTAAATGGTGATATTATGCCTCTCCAATGTCATAGTAAGAGCTGAATGGAAAAATATTTCTCAAGTGTTTTTGAACACTGGAAAAATCGTGATTTACAAGGGAAATTTATCTTATGAAAGGACAGTTCTGTGTACTTATGCCTCCTTTTATTATAAAACATGGGTGAGCAAACCACAATGGAGACAACGAGGGGAAGAGCTTTTATGCCAACCCTGGACTCCACAACCTAAACCTCTCAGAGTTATCCCAAGTACAACCGTGCCTCAAAGCACCCCTCCTTGTGTCGCCCATTTTGCCCAAGTCAGTCATTCTGGGAGGCTTTAGGATGTCCCCTGGCTTTATTTCCATCAATTCACTTGTGCTGTTTCATGTCTCAGAGACACTTTCTCTCCAAAACTTGAGTTAAAAATTATCTAAAGAAATCAAACCACATTGTTCATCAAAAAATACGTCTAGCATGTCATCTGCTTGGCAAAGCCTCAGAGTCACGAATGTAGATGGTGAAGAAATTACCATCTTTAGTCTTCTGAAAGGACGCTCGCAAGTTGACTTCACACATGTGGCTTTGTCTTGCTTTACAGCTGAGATGGATCTGGAAATAAGACTCAGGGGGGGATACAGCCGTTGCTTTGGGAGAGTGGAAGTCAAATACCGAGGAGAATGGGGGACAGTGTGTCATGACAAGTGGAGCCAAAGGAATACAGCTATTGTGTGCAAACAGTTGGGATGTGGAAAGCCCATCTATATGTCTGGGATGACTCATTTTGCGCAAACATCAGGACCTATTTGGCTGGATGACGTTTCTTGCATTGGAAATGAGCAGCATATCTGGAACTGTAAACATCTCGGATGGGGAAAGCATAACTGTGTACACAGAGAGGATGTGATTGTGGCCTGCTCAGGTGAGACTTATTCTTGTTTATTCTTTCTTAACAAAGAAGTAGCATTCACAATAAGAAAGTCTTCTGGATCTATTAGCTGGCTCCAATCTTGGAGTTGATTGAGGACCCATGACTCTCTGTTATCGTTAGGTGTCTGTCTGCTCACTGCACCTAGAATTCTTCCGCTTACACAGATCAAGTAAGAATTTAGGAGACGGCCCATCTATTTCACTTCTAGAATACCATGACCCATTAGTTACTGCCATAGATCTGTGCTGTGACGCTATTCTGATTTCTGCTTAGACTCTGCTGTCTACTACAATAACCATGCCCATTTTTTCTTTGGTGATTAAGTGCCACTACTTGTCTCCTGTGACCCCAAGATCCAATTATCCACTTTGCACCTGAGGACCTCAGTTCAGTAGTAGAAGTTCCCACCATAATTTCTCTCCCATTATAAAAAACCAAACAGAGCTCTTCAAGGATGCCCCTTTCAAATTTATTCCTCACATTCATAGTGAAAGGTATGTCCTCTGGACTTTCCTTGGGTGGGTAAGCAGGTCTCACTGTACAAATCCACTCTAACAATGCAATCTCCCTAAGCTTTTTGACACCTTTCCCTACCATCTGCAGAGACCATTCTGGCATTTCAACTTCATTCAGTTCATCTTTCAGTCAACCAATCAAATATACTCTTAAGGTGCTTTCTAATCTGTAGCTACATCATTAAATCCAGAATTCCTGCTTAGTGGGTCTATATCAGTGAATTCAGCCTGATCCAACTTTATGTCCCTTCCACCATTATCTAGAGTGTCTTAATATCCATACCCATGCATATTTCCTAGATTTTTGTCTGTATAAATTAGAAAACTCATGGTTTTTGTGTGTGCGCTCCCATAAGAGACACTATGTACCTCACCTTTTGAGGCCTGCTGGGACTTTAGTCAAGTTGTAAATAAACTGGAATGGGGACACATGAAGATTTGCTGAGCTTGAGAACATTGAAACCTTTCAAGGCAATTACCTCAAGGGAAGTTGTTAGTTTCTTCAGGCAAAATAGGCTTAATATCCTCAGACTGGGGTGGACGGCTACCTCTACTGTCAAAGAAGAAACAGTGGAGCTTGAGGTTTCAATGTTCTCAAGCTCAGCAAATCTTCATGTGTCCCCATTCCAATTTTCAGGATCCTATTCCACCCCAATCAAGTCTTTCACTCTAATAGCAAACGTACTGTGAAGTTGGGAATTCAATTTGCATTGCACTTCACTTCCTTGCCAGATGAGGACTTAATTTTCAGCAGTCTCAGTTCTGTGGCTACAAGAGATGTGAGCTTCTCTTGGGGAAGACACACTTTCAAGTCATGTGACACTTGAGCTGGGAACTGGAATCTCTGAACTCATCACTTTCTTTCCCCACTTGGTCCAGTGCAACTGGAAGCAACCTGCCAATCTCATTATGCTTGTAAGTTTGGCAAAAATGTCCCAAGGTATCTAATAAAGGATCACCCAGAGCCTTGCCTCTTGTAAGTATTTGATTAGGAGTACCCAATGGTGATACTTTGTTGATCTCTACTGCCACATCATGCCATGGACTATATGAGTGCCCTCTTTACTACGTGGCATAGAGGCAGTAGTGTCCTTGTATATGATTAGATTAGAGAAACAATTCTAGAAATCCAGAATCAATTCCAAAAACTCATTCTTAAGATTTTGTTCCTTTAGGGCCACTTTCAGTACCAAAATCTGTATCTATCAGGGCTCTCCAGAGAAACAAAACCAACAGAATGTGGGAGGCGGGTATGGAGATGGAAAGAGAGAGAGAAAGAGAGAGAGAGACTTTATGGCATTGACTCATCAATAGTGCAAGCAATTGTGTGGGCTTGCAAGTCCAAAATTTGCAAAGAAGGTCAGCAGATTTTGGAGAAGTGTTGATGTTGCACTCTTGAATCTCAAGATAGTCTGGAGGCATAATTTCTTCTTGCAGGATCTGTTTTTTCTCCTAAGGTTTTCAACAGATTGGAAGAGGTCCACCTTCATTATGAAGGATAATCTGCTATGCTCAAAGTCTACTCATTTAACTACTCATTGCATCTTTAAAAAATACCATAACAGCAACATCTAGATGGGTAATTAACCAAATAACCGGGTACCATAGCCTAGCCAAATTGACACAAAATTAACCAACACACCTATTAACTATTGGCTTCATTGTTCTTGATGCAGGTAACACATCATGGACCCTGAGGCTGGTGGATGGCAGCAGCCGCTGCTCAGGAAGATTGGAGGTGAACTTCCAAGAAGAGTGGGGCACGGTGTGTGATGACGGCTGGGACATTAATGATGCCACTGTGGTGTGTCGCCAACTGGGCTGTCCATCTTCTATCATTGGCATAGGTCGAGGAAATGCTTCCGCCGGATTGGGAAAAATTTGGCTTGATGATGTTTCCTGTTATGGATATGAATCGGAACTCTGGTTATGCGGGCACAGTGGGTGGGGAAGACATGACTGCACTCACGGGGAAGATGTTGGAGTGACCTGCTCTGGTAAGACACCTCTGGACAGGATTTCCTATAAAACAAAACTGCTGGGCTCTCTAACATACTCATTTTTCCTTAAATATGACATTGATGCCAGAGTATTCATTTCATACTTTTTCAGAACTAGCCATATCTCATATTCTTGATTTAGATTTTGAATATCTCTTTCTCTTTTTTTCTTTTCTTTTTTTTTTTGAGTTGGAGTCTCACTCTGTCGCCCAGACTCCACAGCCTCAACGCGTTGGGCTCCGGCGATCCTTCCGCCTCAGCCTTCCAAGTAGCCGAAACTACAGGCAGGCGCTACCATGCCCAGCTAGTTTTTTATTTATTGTAGAGATGAAGTCTCGCCAAGTTGCCCAGGCGGGTCTCGAACCCGTGGGCTCAGGCAATTCACTCACCTCGGCCTCCCAAAGCACGGGATTGCAGGCTGAGCCACCGAGCCAGGCCTGAATATCTCTTTCTATCAGATCAAACTTGTTTTCTCAGGAAATGAAACCTCAGTTTCTATTATTTACCCAAATTTTCCCAATGTCAATTTCACCAAACACTCATTTTACAAGGAATTCGACAAAAAGAGGTTATCCATAGCCAAACCTGTTTAGGAAAAATTAACCAGAATGCAGTTATTTAAATACTTAAGCACTTGTTTTGAAACATCCACATACTCAAAAATTAGTTCTCAAGGTAACCCACATACTCATTCTTACCTGAAAGACTTATTTATGTAAGATCATTCTCAATAGCATTAGAACAAATGAACCCCATGCAAAGGTCTGGGCTTATTGTTTATATAATTTTTTAAAAGTTGAGAGTTGTCTCGTGGATTCCTTCTCCAAGACCAAAGTTTTTATTAGACAACCCTCAAATGGTACAAAGAAAAATTACATATACAACTACCCAGGTAGTACAATTTTAGAAAAGTTGAATTTTCTGATTCAGATGCTATTTTTTCGTCTTTGGATTTCCTTATTTTCAGTCAATATCAACATATTTGTTTCTCAGTCTATATATTATTTTCTAAGATAAATGGCTAAGATACTAAATTATGTTTTAAAAAATAATTCAACACAAATATAAATTTGAAATTTGCCTTTTAAACTTCCACAACTCTATTTTGCCTTTCAATTTAGGTAGACATACAGTTATGATTTACCAGTCATCAGTCTTTCTTCAGAGATCTTCCCACCATTTGAATTGTGCCTGTTGTTTTCTGAAAGTTTGCTCTTCCAGTGAGCTATTCTCTTTTTATTATTTTTATTCATACATAATGTTTGTACATATTTATGGGATACATGTAATATCTTGGTTTAGGCATGGAATGTGTAATGGTCAAGTCAGGGTATCCAGGAAACCTATCACCTAGACTGTTCTACATTTCTTGGTGTTGAGAATGTTTCAAATCTTTTCTTCTGGTTATTTGAAATATACAATATATTGTTGCTAACTGTAGTCACATAATCACTCTACTGTGCTATTGAACACTAGAACATTTTCCTTCTATTCAACTATATGTCTGTACCTAATGACTTACTTTCTTCATTCCCTTGACACACACATACTTCCCAGCCATTGGTAACTACCATTCTGCTCTCTGATTCTGTGAGATAACTTTCTGAGCTACCACATAGGAGGGAGAACATGTGATGTTTGTCTTTATGTGCCTGGCTTATTTCACATAGCATGAAGATTTCCAGTTCCATCCATGTTGCTGCAAATAAAAAGATTTCATTTTTTAGGGCAGAATAGTATTCCACTATGTATATATACCATATTTATTCATTCATGGACACTTAGATGGATTCCATATTTTGACTATTTTGAATACAGCTGCAATAAACATGGGAGTGCAGATATTCCTTTGGTATACTGATTTTCTTTCCTTCAGATAAATACCCAGTACAGTAGTGTGACTACTGGATCATAGGGTAGGTATATTTTTAGTTTTTTTAGAAATCTTCATACTGTTTTCTATAGGCATATAGATTAGAAACGCTAATCTATATGCCTATAAACAGTGGAGAGGAGTTCCATTTTCTCTGCACCCTTGCCAGCATTTATTATTTTTTGTCATTTTGATAACAGACATTCTAACTGGGGCAAGATGATGGCTCGTTGTGGTTTTAACTTTCATTTCCCTGATGATTAGTGATGTTGAGCATTCTTATATGCCTGTTAAACATTTTTGCATGTTCTCTTTTGAGAAATGCCTGTTTATATCTTTTGCGCACTTTTGAATGGGATTATTTGGATTTTTCTTTCTGAGTTGTTTGAGTTCCTTGTATATTCTCAACATTCATGCAAGGAGAATGAATGAGATGGAGAACTTGCAATTATTTTCTCTCATCCAATAGATTGTGCACAAGATTTTCAGTTTAATACAGTCCCATTAGTTTATTTTTGTTGTTATTGTTTTATTGCTTATGCTTTTGAGATCTTAGCCATAAAATCTTCACCCAGACCTATGTCCTGGAGCATTTCCCCAGCTTTGTTTTCTTCCAGTAGTTTTATAATTTGGGGTGTTAGGTTTAAGTCTTTTGTCCATTTTGAGTTTATTTTTGTGTATATAGTGAGAAGGGTCTAGTTTCATTCTTATGCATGTAGATTTTCAGTTTTCCTAGCACCATTTGTTGAGAAGCTTCCTACCCCCAATGTGTGTTCATAACACCTTTGTTGAAAATCAGTTGACTACAGATAAGTGGATTTATTGCTAGGCTCTCTATTCTATTCCATTGGCCTATGCATATGTTTTTATTCCACTACCAGGCTGTTTGGTTACTATAGCCTTGTAGTATATCTTGAAGTCAGGTAGTATAATGTTTCCAGCTTTGTTCTTTTTGCTCAGAGTTGCTTTGGCTATTTGGGTTCTTGAATGGTTTCATACACATTTTCAATATTGTTTTTTCTATGTCTGTGAATAAATAGAATGTGGTATTTTGATAGGGATAGCATCTAGTCCATATAATGTCTGGGGTGCTGTTTTAGTTGGCTGTGTTGCTATGAAGGAATATCTAAGACTGGATAATTTATAAAGGAAAGGAACTTATTGAGCTCAGTTTTGTAGACTGTACAAGAAGCATGACACTAGCATCTACTTCTGATGAGGGCCTCGGGAAGCTTCAAATGATGGTGGAAGGGGAGGGGAGTCAGCCCCACCGGCAAGAGGGAGGAAAGAGAGAGAAGAGGAGGTGCCAAGCTCTTTTTAGCAGCCATTTCTCGAAGGACAGAGAGAGCAAGGACTCACTGTGAGGACGGCGCAAAGTTATTCATGAGGTGTCTGCCCCCGTGACCCAAAAATTTCCTGCCAGGCTCCACCTCCAATATTGAGGATTAAATTTCAGCTTGAGATTTAGAAGAGGGAATAAACACCAAACTACAACAAGCCATGTGGTCATTTTAACAATACTCATTCTTTTTACCAATTTGCAGAACATGTTTTTTAAATTTGTTTGTGTCCTTATCTTGTCATTTTGTTTGTAGAGGTCTTTCACCTCCTTGATTAAATTTATTCCTAAGGGGTTTTTTTGTGGCTATTGTAAATGAGATTGTCCTTGATTTTATTCTCAATATATATAGGATACAGAAAGGCTACTGACATTTTATGCTAATTTTGTGTCCTATAACTTTGCTGAATTTGTTTCTCAGTTCTAAAGTATTTTTTACGGCGTCTTAAAATTTTTCTAAATAGGCAATCATACCATCTGCAAAGAGGAATAATTTGACTTTTTCTTTTCTAACTTGGATACCTTTTTTTTTTTTTTTTTTTTTTGAGTTGGAGTCTCACTCTGTCGCCCAAACTGGAGTGCAGTGGCCACTTCTGGCCACCGCAGCCTTGACCTGCTGGGCTCTGGCAATCCTTCTGCCTCTGCCTTCCAAGTAGCTGGAACTACAGGCATGTGCTACCACACCCGGCTTATTTTTTGATTTATTGTAGAGATGAGGTCTCGCCAAGTTGCCCAGGTGGGTCTCAAACCCGCAGGCTCCGGCAATCCACTCACCTCAGTCTCCCAAAGGTGCGGGATTACAGGCTGAGCCACCGAGCCCACCTCCAACTTGGATATCTTTTCTTTCTTTCTCTTTCCTGATCGCTCTGGCTAGGAGTGGTGAAAGTAAGTGTTTTTGTCCTGTTCCAGTTCTTAGAGGAAAAGCTTTCAGCTTTTCCCCACTCCGTATGATGTTGGCTGTGGGTTTTTCATATATGGCTTTTATTTTACTATGCTGAGTTGTAGTCCTTCTATGCCTATTTTGTTCAGATTTCACATTGTGAGGGGATGTACAGTTTGATAAAATGCCTTTTCTGCATCTACTGAGATGATCACATGGTTTTTGTCCTTCATTCTATTGACGCAATGCATTATTCTTATTGATTGGCACATGTTCGATCACCCTGGCATCCCGGAATAAATCCCACTTGACCATTGGGCGTTACCTGCTTGATGTGCCATGGGATTCAGTTTGCCAGTATTTAGTTTCGGATTCTTGCACCTACATCCATCGGGGATATTGGCCTCTAATTTTGTTGTTGTTGTTGTTGTTGCATCCTTTTCTGGTTTTGGTATCAGGGCAATGCTGGCCTCTTAGAATGTGTTAGCAGGAATTCTCTCTTCTTCAATTTTTTGGACTAGTTTGAGAAGAATTGTTGTTAGTTTTACCTGATAAGTTCAGCAGAAGTCAACAGTAAAGCCATCCAACTCTGGGCTTCACTTTGTTGGGAAATGTTGCATTGCTGGTTCAATCTCATTACTTACTATTGGTCTGTTCAGGTTTCCTATTTCTGTCTTGCTCCATCTTGAGCAGGTTGCATGTGTCCAGGAATTTATCCCTTTTCCTTAGGTTTTCTAGTTTCTGTGCATTTGTTATGACCCAAGCGTGAGAAGGAGACTTGTCAGTATACCAAGTCTGAATTATGAGTCCTTTATTAACGAATGAGTTAAGAGTAGGCTCACGCCAAGAAAGCTCTTGACACTTAAGTGAAGTTTGCAGCAAGTTTTTAAAGGCAACATAGCAGAGGGTGAGGGTACAAGGAACTAAAAACAAAAGACACAATTCCTTGGATTTTAGTTAACAAGGCATACAATTACGTGGAACTTGTGGTTAGGGAGTTTTCAATGGTCAGCAAGAACGGTCAGCGAGATTAGCTCAGGGGAACGCAGCTGTGGGTCTGTGGTCATGGGAACGTTACAGCTATTACACGTACACAATGCGGGGGGACATTTTTAGATTAGGCAGACAGCTAAGATGGAGGATTTTAACACAATGAAGTTACTTATGTCTAGAAAGTTATTGCAATTATTTTACATATTTCCGTACTTGCAGGGGACACCCCAGCCAGGCTTATCCTGGAATCAAGTTCTCCAGTTGTGACTGACATCCAGGGTCCGCCTGGGTTTGTTCCTCTCAGTCATGGCCCAACTATGGGGGTCTGATGTTCAGAAGGTTGCTGGGGAGAAGGGGGTTGGGGTCAGCCCCGGATTCACCACGGATCTCTTTGGAGTTCTTCCTCGTCCTTTTCTGGCCACACCCTCTGTCCCGTGGCTGGATCACGGTAGGGGGTGGGGCGCCTGGATCTCAGCACTCATCAGGTCCCCCTGAAGTTTGTGGTCTCAGGATGTTTCCTCTGGACCACGATTCAGCCCTGAGTAGTTGATCTGCCAGTCACAGAAATTGGGTCTGTGGCTCTATGGAGAGCAAGTCAAAGCACCCTCCTGACCCATCTTCAAGGTGGTGGTGAGGTGTCTCTCTTGTCCTCTTTGGTGGGATCGTGCCTCTGGGCTCCCTCTGCAGCCCCTGCTGCCAGTGGCCAGGCAGGTGCTGAAGTGGTGCCGTGAAGCCAGGAGCCAGCGGTGTCTCCGGCGATAGTGGTAAGGCAGAGCCTGGAGTGGTAGTCTCTCACTGTCACTTCTTCACAGGAAAACTTTGGTCCATTTTTTTAAAGGGCACTCAGCTTCTGTGACCTGGGAAGAGCCAGGGACCAAGCAGAGAAGCTGCAGCACCAGCTGTTGCACCAGGGCCCTGGCCACTTGCTCACGAGCCCCCACTGAGTCAGTCTCTCCCAGCATTTTCTTCCCAGGAAGGGTTTTGTTGGGTTTTTTTTAATGGCCCTCAGCTTCTGCATCCCAGGAAACGCTAGGGTCCAAGACCAGCAACCACAGCACCAACCGCTGCACCCAAGTCCAGTTTAAATACAATCTTTCTTTGTCTAGGTGATCTGTCCAACACTAAAAGTGGGATGTTGAAGTATCTTGCAACTGTTGTATTGCAGTCTCTTTCTCCCTTTATATCCAATAAAATTTGCTTTATAGATCTGGGTGCTCCATTGTTGTAGATAGATAGATAGATAGATAGATGATAGATAGATAGATAGATAGATAGATAGATAGATGATAGATGGATAGATAGATAGATAAATAGGAAATAGATATAGACATAGAATTGTTATATCCTTCTGAAGAATTGATCTCTTCATTATTATGGTATAACCTTCTGTGTCTCTTTTTTATTATATTTGACTTAAAGTCTGTTTTATCTTATATAAGTATAGCTACTCCTGCTCACTTTGGTTTCTGGTTTCATAAAATATCTTTTTCCATCTTTCACTTTCAGTCTGTATGTATCTTTATAGTTGAAGTTATTTTCTTGTAGAAAGCAAATATTTGGGTCATGTTTTTTAATCTTCTCAGCCAGTCTATATCTTTTAAGTGACTATTTTAATTTATTTGCATCAAGGTTATTATTGCTAGGTGAGAGCCTGCTAGTGTCATTTTGTTGTTTTCTGGATGTATTATATGTCCTTTGTTCCTTCTCTTCTCTCTTATTGTTTATCATTGTTTTCTGTAGTGGTGTCATCTGAGCCCTTTCTCTTTTTCATTTTTTTGCTCTGCCAGTGAGTTTTACATCTTCATGTGCTTTCATGATGACAGACACTTAAGCATTTTTTGTAGTGTCAATCTAGTGGTGATAAAGTCCATCATGTTTTGCTTGTCTGAGAAATACTATATTTCTCCTTTGATTTTTGATGGTTAGCTTTTCTGGGTATTGTATTTTGGGGTTGCCTTTTTTTATTTTAGCACTTTGAAAATACCACATCTTTCTCTTCTAGCTTATAAAGTTTCAGTGAGAAATCCTCTACTAGCTTGATCTAGGTCACCTTATTTGTGACATGACACTTTTCTTTTGCTGTTTTTAGAATTATGTTTTTGTCTTTGACTTTTGATAGTTTAACTATAATGCGCTTTGGAGAATATAATTTTTAGTTTTGCATCTATTGAGGAATCTTTAGCCTTCTTGTGTCTGGATGTCTTAAAATCTTGCACAATTTGGGAAGCTTTCAGCTATCATTTCATCAAATAGGTTTCCTATGCCTTTGCACATCTCTTTACCTCCTGGAACACCCAAAATCTCAATGTGTGTTCTATGTGTTATGTAGGCTTTCTTGATTAAAAAAAAAATTTTTTTTTTTGGAGACAGGTTTCACTCTGTCACCTAGACTCGAGTGCAGTGGCACAATCAGCTCACTAGAGGCTCAACTTCTGGGACTCAAGAGATTCTCTTGTCTCAGCCTCCCAAGTAAGTAGGACTCCAGGCACACACCATCACACCCAGCTATTTTTTTAAATTACTTTTTGTAGAGATAATGTCTCACTATGTTGCCCAGGCTGATCTCAAACTCCTGGGCTCAAGCAGTCCTCCAGTCTCAGCCTCCCAGAGAGCTGGTATTATAGGCATGAGTGGGCCCTATATTATTATTATTTTTGTCTGACTGGGTTATTTCAAAAGACGTCTGCAGGTCTTTAAAATTCTTCTGGGCTGACATAGGGGCTTTGGGGCCGCTGCTGGATGCGGGATCCTGTGCTGCGGTGGCAGGAGGTCCCATGGTGGTCGGGACCCGGGAGGAAGATGGCAGTGAACAGATATTCAACGTCAGTCACCAGTGATAACCGAAGTCGACATGACATGCTGGCCTGGATCAATGAGTCTCTGCAGTTGAACCTCACAAAGATTGAACAGTTGTGCTCAGGAGCTACCTATTGTCAGTTTATGGACATGCTGTTCCCTGGCTCCATTGCCTTGAAGAAAGTGAAATTCCAAGCTAAGCTAGAACATGAGCACATCCAGAACTTCAAGATACTTCAAGCAGGTTTTAAGAGAATGGGTGTTGACAAAATAATTCCTGTGGATAAGTTAGTAAAAGGAAAATTTCAGGACAATTTTGAATTTGTTCAGTGGTTCAAGAAGTTTTTTGATGCAAACTGTGATGGAAAAGACTATGACCCTGTGGCTGCCAGACAAGGTCAAGAAGCTGCAGTGGCTCCCTCCCTTGTTGCTCCAGCACTGAATAAACCGAAGAAACCTCTCAGCTCTAGCAGTCCAGCTCCCCAGAGGCCCATTTCAACACAGAGGATGCTGCAGCTACTAAGGCTGGCCCTGGGGTGGTGCGAAAGAATGCCGGTGTGGGCGACGGGGATGACAAGGCCGCTGAGTGGATGCAGCAGGTCAACGTATTGAAACTTACTGTGAAAGACTTGGAGAAAGAGAGAGATTTCTGCTTTGGAAAGCTAAGGAACATTGAACTGATTTGCCAGGAGAACGAGGGGGGAAACAGCCCTTTATTGCAGAGGACTGGAGACATTCTCTATGCCACAGATGAAGGCTTTGTGATACCTGATGAAGGGGGCCCACAAGAAGAGCAGGAAGAGTATTAACAGCCCGGACCAGAAGAGCAACATCTGAATTCTTCACTCCAAATCATGTGCTTAACTGCAAAATACTCCCTTTTATTCTTAGAGGACTCACTGGTCTCTTTTCATAAGCAAAAAGTACCTCTTCTTAAAGTGCACTTTGCAGAAGTTTCACTCCTTTTCTGATAAGTTTGAGTTAGGAGGTTTTACCTTGTAGCAGAGCAGTATCAACATCTAGTTGGTTCACCTGAGAAACAGAAAGGCTCACCGTGGGGCTCACCGTTGTGGATGCTGGTCACACTGGTCGCTGGAGAAGGTGTTATGAGTATGCTGAGGGGGTAACCTCAGGAGAGAAATGTAAAGACTGAATTGAATTTTAAGCTAATGTGAAATTAGAGAGTGTTGTGAAAAATAAATGCCTTCAGAGTATTTAAAATACGCTTCCATATTTCAAAATATAAAATATAACACGATGGGAGATTTGACGTGTTTGGCATTGTGTCTGGGAAGAAAGGGCCAGACCTTGGGACCTTTGGAGTCTGCTGTCACAGGCCTTAGGGGCTGCTTGAATCCTCATAGGCCTGGGCTTTGGTCCGAGAGGAATGTTTAAAAATTGCTCTGTAGATCCATTGGTGTCTTTGACCAATTGCATCCCTGCCAAAAAGCAAGAGGCATTGTTGCCTTGATGAATAGAGGGTGTGTTTCAGCCCTGAGAGGTTTGGGTTGAAGAGCTTGATTTTCATTTGGTGTTTATCTGACAGCTTTTCCAGTATCTCCCAAATTTCCATGTTTTTTACTCTTTGGAAAATGAGGTGTGCCCATTTGTCTTTTTTTAAGCTAACAACGACTTTGGGGACTTGCCCGCATCTCTGGAGTTAGAATGGGGCTGTGTCCCCTTTTACCATGTTTTAGGGTTACATTTAACACGTTTCTCTGCTCCCCTTGCCCACTGGGGACTCCTCCTTGGCTCTATCAAGTTTGCTGCTTAAAGTGGGAAGTGCAGAGGCAGGTCATCATGCTGCAAATCCTTGGGCCCTCTGGCAGAGGGAGTGATCAGTGAAGTCTGTCCTGACCTTGGCATCTGCAGGGCTGGGGTGTCCTCGGGAATCTGCTGTCCACAGCTCTCCATGCTATTTGAATACTTTGCCAGTGCACTAATCTCTTTGGAGATGAAATTCATTAGTGTGTTACTAAATGTTAAGTTTCTTTTGCAGAAAATACAGTACCGTGTCTGAATTAATTATTAGTATTGAGGATCTTTCACTCCTTGACTCCCCCTCATTTATTTTGCCAATAGCCTGTTCATTTCCTTTGGTGAGCAGGATTCTGCCAAGTGTATCTCCCCAACCACTGAGATGGTCCAGCCCTGATGTATTTGTATTGACTTGTTTCTGGTGGTAGCTTGTCCTAAAATGTGTGTAGAAAGCAAGTATTTTATGATAAAATTGTTGTGTAGTGTATGCTCAGTGTGGAATTCGGAGGAAAACCCAGATTCAGTGATTAACAATGCCAAAAAATGCGAGCAACTAGCCATTGTTCAATGACAGTGGTGCTCTTTCTCTTTGGTGGCCTTTTGGACTTTTGTTGCCCTAAAATTCCATTTTATTGGGAACCCATTTTCCACCTGGTCTTTCTCGTCAGGGTTTTTTTCTACTTTAAACAGTTTCTAAATAAAATTCTGTATTTCAAGAGTAAAAAAATAAAATAACATAATAAAATTCTTCTGCTTTATCTATGCTGCCTGTTTTTGAAGTTCTCAGTTGTACTTTTTATTTCGTTCATTGAATTCTTGAGTTATAGGATTTCCATTTGGTTTTTGTTTTTTTTTTTTAATGATATCTATATCTGGCAAATTCTTCATTTGTATACTGAATTGTTTTTCTGATTTCTTTGTGCTGTTTACCTGTTGTTGTTTTGTTTTGTTTTGTTTTGTTTTTTGTATCTCACAGAGCTTCTCCAATATTATTATTCAAATTTTTCAGGCATTTCACAGATTTTACTTTTGCTAGAATCTGTTGCTGCAGAATTACTGTGCTCCTTTAGGGGTGTCATGTTTTCTTTGGTTTTGTTTGTTTGTGTGTTTGTCGTGTCCTTATGTTGGCATCTGTGCATCTAGTGTAACAGTCAATTTTCCCAATTATTTGGATTTGTTTTTATGTGGGAAAAACCTTTTCTGTGGATGTCTCTATAGTGTTTGTTGGGTAGGGGAGTTGAGCTTTGGCTCTGCATGTGTTCACATGATTTTTTTCAGCGATAATTAGAATGAGTGGTATCTATGGCTTAGGCAGTGCTTGCTAGTGGATGCTACAGTGTGTCTTTTCTGAGAATGGGGATGTCATCCTTGGGCCCCAGAAGTGGCGGTAGCAGGCCAAACAGACCTGTCCAAGGACCACCGGGTGCCTATGAAAGCACAAGTATTAGTAGGTCCAGGAAGGTCAATTCTTGGGCTGCAGGGCGGCTTGCTTGGGTGTCAGCAGGTGAAGCATTTAGTTGAGAGTGCGAGTAAGTTCTCAGATTCCTGGCTGGCACGTGTGGTGTTGGTGATGGCAGTAGTGGTGGCAGGGCAAACCTTGGGCTCCCAGTTGGCATGCACTGGCACCGGCAGTGACAGTAACGGGCTGAGCAGGCCACCGCAAGGTGGCGTGTGTTTGTTCTTTTTTTTTTTTTAATCGATATTTTTTATTATGATGTTGTGGGGTACAATTAAGGGTTAGGTATACAAATACGTTTCATTCAGGCACCCTGTTGATAAGAGGTGTTTCCCT